TGGACGAAGAGTCTCGCAAGAGACAGGCGTGCCATAACTAAACCTCTAAGATCACTCACTCACTCACAGTAGCACGCGGTCACGTGCCATAGGCCGACTTATCCCGCCTATGATAGTCGACCGTCCGCTATTGCCTGATACGAAAGACGGATTACTTCCGATCCGCCGATGCAAGCCATAGCTGTCTGGAGGTTGATGACGTCATCTATGGGGCGGCCACGCTGAAGTGCAGCCGTGGTAATCTGCAGCTATTTAGGGGCGATCCGCTCTTGACGCCGGCCAACGACCCCATCAGCTGGGCGTGCTGTGTTCCCCGCCAATAACAACAACAGGGTAATCATTCGCTTTGCTCCCACTAGAATGCGGATGATCAATTATTGAGCGAAGCTGGAGAGAAGATGCCATCAGCACAAATATTCATGACGACCTATTAATTGAATAAAAGTTTATATCGAGTCAACCAATCAAGTAAAAGTTGAATAGAAAAAGGTCGCACTTGCCACAATTGTAAAATATCATGTAAATCACCCATCATTTACCATCATTTAAGATATTAAATATTTGTTGACTATTATTTAAGTCGAAGTTTAATGACTGTTATTGTAAAACCTCATTCCAGCTCCAGAAGCCACACACACACTAGGTGTTATGGGTTATAATATATATGTATATATATACACTCACACAGATAGACAGACGCAGGCAGGCAGACAGACAGATAGTAAACTTTGAACTGAAACCCGTATAATCAGGAAACCTACTTTAACAGAAAAATTTCTTCGGCCCGTGAAGTTACAATACATTTAACGCAGCATAAAACGGAACCTCTTCAAGACAGAAACGAACGGTTTTTCATGAAATATAGGATAAAATCTTCATAAAACGAAATTCCTATCTTTTTACGCAGTTGGTAGAGACGCGAGAAGTTCTTAATGAAATTAATGCATCTGCAAGTTTGTATTAAATTCTCTATCCTTGTGACCCGATATTTAGTTGTGGCAGCTGGACATAGACTGTAAAACATGGTCGCATGATTGTCGGCACTGCCATCGTGAAGACAGGCCCGTACGCGCGAAGAAATAAAAACCCAAGTATAATTTGATTACTTAAAAAGAAAAGTAGAGAAATGTGCAGGTGGAGGGTTTGGTTACAGTTACAAACCCGCCGCCTATATGTTTTCTGATAAAGAATATTTCTTTTATGCGGCACATAAACTGTATTTTTATTTGTTGACTAATAGTTAATATTTATAAGGTTATATACTATACATTGCAATGCCTTTCGTTTGTATAGAAAGTTGGTAAAAGCTATATTTTGAATATGTATCATTGGTTGAAGGGGTGAAGTCTCATGCCCTATCCTTTTGGTTGTGCCTTCTGATTGTATATTTCTTTAAAGTTTGCCCCTTATACACTACGCAAAGAATAATATTTTTTTACAGTTCATTGAATACAAATGGACATTGCAGAAGTTACAAGCTTTATGGTCACAATATAGAATTAAATTTTGTTTATGCATCGCTAAATTCTGAGCTTCTCTTTCACAAGATGTATTTTGGAACCCTAAGTACAAAAACAGTTTCAAACGTTTAGAGAATTGTAAGCGGATCAAACAAGATTTTTTGGGGGTATACAAAACTTAATCTCAAAATATCATATAGCAAGTCATTGATGTTTATTGCCTTTTGTCAACTACACCTTCATCGTGTTATTTTTCGACAAACATTGTTGGGTCACTTTCAAATTGTATCTCAGTGGCACACTATCAACGCACTCTCCACTAGTGGAGAAAGTGTTGGCACTAATCGCTTTCCATGCCGCATGGCGGCTAGCATCTGTACTGCTTTTTTTTTCCAAATCTGCCCCTGGCTGTTTACGGTTTCATCCAATCTGGAGCTTGAACGTCACCATGACATCACGGTTATATCTGTCCGGGGCAGATTAAAAAAAATCCTTGTATAGTTTTCAAACGAAGCGCCCGTGTGTATCGATGTATATACGATGTATATCATGTATATGATGTATTGATGTATATTGCGATTTATGTAACTCTTCCTCTAGCAGGTTCAGCTGTTGACGGTTTCATCCAATCGAAGGCTTGAATGTTACCATAGGGATGTCACTATGGTGACGTTTAAGTAGTCAATTGGATGAAACTGTCAACTGTTGATACCTGCCGGGAACAGAGTTCCGAAAAACGCAGTTGTAACCACGTTGTCTCACAGATTCTAGATTCCTCAACTATTCATTTAAATAAACTGCAAGTAGTTCAAAACGAATGTCTCACGGCAGCCCTCTGCGTCCCAAGATACATTCCCATTCAAAATATACATCGCGATTTAACAATGCCACTGCTGATAGATCATATCAAAAATATTGTTATACAATTTTTTGATAAAGCCCTCTCATTTCCGAGATCGCCTCATACCAACCCGATCAACGGGCCACGTACTAGGCGACCGAAACAGTTCCTGGAGTAAGAGTAATCTGAAAGAGAGAAATGATACTTTAAACATGAACTTAGTAATTCCACACGCGCAACGCTAGTAGGCTTAAGTTATTTTTGACCTTATGTTTTTCTTTATGTTGCAGGATTGGCCACAGGTGCCCGTAAGGGAAGGAATGGTCTCACCGCAGTGGCGTGATAAATACTCTCTGGCGTGAACGTGCATTGCACCACATTGCACTTTCCGTACGTTCACAAAACTGTACAAAGCATACACTCATACACATATACTCTTTGGTACAAAGAGATCTTGGTTCTAGATTATTCTTTGGACTCCAAATTCATTCAACCAGTTCAACCATTTCGCTCTTCTCGACGGTCGTCGATCTTGTTGCTTTGGATTTCGGAAGACATCGGTGAAAAAGCACCGAAAAGTTTGCATAGTCTTGACTTTACCAACGAAAAAATTGTTGGCATACGAAGCATTAGTGTTGTAACACAATGGCTGGCGCTCTGGGTGGTGTATTAAGGAATGCCTCGCATTTACCAGGATCTACGAAAAGTTTGTTGCAGAATGGAAGTTTATTATATTTTGCAAAGTTAGTGTTTCTCAAAATAAAAATAAAAACTCGCACCCACAACTCGTCACTATTTTACATTTTATTCTTTTGAAATGTTAATACATGAACCAACATTTTTTCCATTAATTAAGCTCTGCTTTTTATTATTCAACAGTCATCAGAGAGGTGCCAAAAAGTGGTTTCCGGATGCAGAGTACCTGAAACAATTCCAAGGGCCTGTTTTGTACCGTGATGATATGGGAGCAACATCCAAATGGTCCGCACCTGTGTGGAGCAACAAATTAGCCCCTGTCGAGAAGAAAGTTCGCAATATGACTCTTAATTTTGGACCGCAGCATCCTGCTGCCCATGGTGTTCTGCGACTTGTGCTTGAATTAGATGGCGAGGTATAATTGCTTTCGTAACTCTTAATACAAGGGGAATACTTCACTGCATAAATATTTTTAAAACTACTATAAAGTATGTATTCAGGTTAAGACCTTTTAAACCTTGTCCAAATTGGTTTTGATCATAGGATACCATGTGTATGAAGTCAAGTTGGAAATTATTTGTTGAAAGTATTGTTACTCTTGCACTTTAAGCATCTTTGTAGCTTTGTGCAATTACTCGGATATTATGTACTTAGAAGTTGGAACAGTTAGTTCGCAACATGCCAATAGATCAATATTCAGTGCAAATTGGAAATTATATGTAAAGAAAAAATTGCAGGCATTTATTTGGTCTTATTAGTTAAAATATTTGCATTTATCAGGAATGATCATTAGGTAACAAATTTTTATTTTATTTGTTCGGGGCAAAACATTTTAGGAGTCACGTCATTTTTATCATTCACTTTACTGTAAATGATCTTTGTATGACAGAAATAGATGTGTAAGATCAAGAGGAAAATTTTATGGGTAACCCTCAGATTGCGAATTTCTAAACTTTTGATTGATATATTGAGCTAACTAGTCTATAATGGTAAATAAGGGATTTGTTTTATTTGGAAATTAATCTGAATGCAAAAAGATAATTTGAGATATTTATTATTTTTTAAATGGGTGGTAACTCTTTTACAAAAAAATTGATGCTATTTGTGCCACTTTTCTTGACCAATTGCTTGGAGACGTGGAGATATTAATTTCAGAATTGGTCACTAGAGATTGTGAATCTATACCAACCTCTAGACATGGGATTAATGTATGACTGGTAAATTTTTTGAACTGGGAAACATACTGACTTCATTTGCTTGAAGTGATAAATCTTGTTTTCTTATAATAAATTCCTAATCAACTGTGTCAGTCTAAATAGAAACTAGTGGCTTAAAATACTAAAGTGTAAAAGTTGGTGGAAGTATGAATGAATTTAGAATGACACAAAAACAAGTCATTACATAATATTGATACATAAGTAACACAATTTGTTCACAGTAACAGTACAGGACAAAAAGAAATAAAAGTAATAAAATAAAACAATAAGACAAAAACAGAAAAGACATTGCATAATACTGAAATATAAAAATTAGAATAACACAATTATCACAGTAAAATAATTAGAAAAGGTAGTAGCCATTCATGTATTAATTGGTTAAATTTAAATTAGATCATGGCCTTGGTAGCAAAGGGTGAGATATTAAAATAATTATCATTATAAATTTATTCCCTAATTCCAGGAGCCTGTACTGTATTATTATTATCTACTAATGTTTCCTTTACGTTCCGGTTAAAAATATGAGATTGGTACAAGGATCATAAAGGTATATTGAACGTAATTTAATTAATTAGATTGCTCTGATAAATACTATTGATAGTTATTTATTGCTTATACTTCATGTCAATCAATAATGTTTCCTCTTCAGCATTGATCCAAATTAGGGCTGTAAAAATCATGACTTTTTTAATCTGATTTTTTTAATTTAAATCAGATTTTTTAAATAGTATTAGATGTTTCTACTTAAAACCAAAATCCTTATTGATTTATTTATCCTTAAATTGCAAAAACCTCTAACCTATCCTACTTTAAAAGCAAAAAAAGTTTTTAAAACATGTTTTAAATTTATCATAAAATTATTGCAATGTTATAAAAGAAGTAAAGATACTATAATAATGTTAGACAGTTTTTGAAATATTAAATTCCATTTAATAGTTCTCGTTCAACTGAAAAGTACAGGAATATAATGATTGTTACTTGCGCTATTTCCTATTAACCCTTTAATGGTCATTGGAAAGTATGCTTCCCACTTCAAATGAAATTTTATCATCATAGACATAAAGAAATAGGTTAATATTAAAACTAAGATTAACAGCTGTTTTTATTAGTTTTAACCATATTAATTTTGTTCTTCAAAAGAGTTAATAAAGTTCTGTTTGTTATCATCTTTAAGATGTACGTTGTGTCTTAAGCAAACATTTTAATGCAAATCTAGAATTATGGACACTGTTGAAGCTTTCTCAAAACTAGCTTGGTGGATGTTAGGCCGGTATTGCTGCTAAATTTGTTTTATCTACATTTAATTAAATGCTGAATAAAAACTAATCGATTATCTAAGCCTAATAGTATATAACTCTACTAGAAATTTTTTATTGATCTTCGTTTCAAAAGTTTGTTCATTTTATTGTATTTTATTTTCTCAAAATTGTTCAGTTATGTGAAAAAGTTTATAAATAATATATATTCTTTATATAAACTTAATAATTTATTAATTCTTTTTATCTGAGTAATTTTTATTTTATAAATGTTTGAAATTCAAATATATTTTCAAATATTACAAATAATAAATATGGATTTAAATCATTGATTTTTTAAAAATGATTTTAATCATACCAGCTTCCAACTATTGTTCTGTTTTCATAGGGAAGCGAAAATTATATAATGCTGCAAGAAATCATTTGAGATTTTGAAGGAAACACTTTTTGGGGCTAATTGATAGCAACTTGGTATCTGTTATCATTTTCTGCAAATATTTGTTCTGTAAACTGTTCTGAGGATTTCACCAAACATGATATTCTCTGATCGATAAGGGTGAAATCGTGACCTCTCAAATTTTAAACTGATATATTAATTTTTGATTGTACTTTACTTGAAGCCCCTACAATACTAGCAAAGGTATTTTTGAATGCCTTTAATCCAGTTGCTAAAAATTTAATTTGTATATCTGAATTATCAAAAAATTAGATTATTTTTCCCTCTTTCTTTTTTAATATAGTGCTTTATTTGGTTAGAGATTTTTAGTACGTGTGTTAGTAGGGTAGAAGTTGCAATATTTGGTAAAATAAGTTATGTTATCCAACAATACAAATAATATGAGAATGTATGTGCTGTTGAAGGAATACTAGTTCTTTATTTTTTTTTTCTCAGAGAGCTTAGAGAAAATTTTCTTTCAAAGTTCTTTCCATACTGTTCATTTAACTTTTTATTTTTCAGACTGTGGTTCGATCTGATCCTCATATAGGATTACTTCACCGTGGAACTGAAAAACTAATTGAATATAAGACATATACTCAGGCATTACCATATTTTGATCGGTTAGATTATGTTTCAATGATGGCTAACGAGCAGTGCTATTCATTGGCTGTGGAAAAGTTATTGAATATTGATGTTCCCAGAAGAGCAAAGTACATCAGAAGTAAGTTTAGTTTATGAAGTTCATGAGGAGCTTCATTCTTTAAATTCTTTAGTTTAAATGACATTTTGCCTTCAAATTTTTAAGATAATCATTTTTTTATTTTTAAGGTTTTAGTTGTGCATTTGCAAAATTATTTAGCAACATATTCTGTATTCCAGTACAACATGGTGCAAATTATTTGTATTGTGTCTTATCATTGTCATGCTACAACTCGACACATTTCATGAAGAAGTTAAATGAAAATTCAGCTTGCAGGAGATAACATGGTTCATTTAAATGAAATCATTTTGACATGCACTTCGTACTTTGACAAGGGAAAACCTTCAGTGGAGGGGTCGAGGAGTACTTCGGAGATTTGAGGGAATCTTCATTGGATAGGTGTAGTGAGCAATGCACATAATGACACATTATTGTAAGTAGCTATGCATGGGAAGTTTTGCCAGCGAGGCTCCTGCACATGCAGCCTCGTTGGTCTAAATAAATCATAAAAATTAAACTCTGAAATACTTTTATGCTTCATGGTTAGTTACATTCTACTTTCTTTCACATCATCACATCACTACCTTGACAGAGAACCAGTACTTTTCTGTCCTTGATGGACAGACCTTGTTAGAAAGTCTTTGTTGATTGAAGGACCAGGTTGCACAATTGTTTCCGCTTGCTAGCCTGTTTGCATTGGTTCGTGGATGGATGCATTGATGATTGGAGGGATTGTGAGGACTTGGAAGGTAAAGAAATTAATTGTCAATCTAGTAATTCAGTAAGTCTGTTTTCAGTCTTGATTGGTAGTGGTAATTGTGCTTTTGCTCTCTTGGATGGTTGGACAGTTCTACAGTGTGGCCTATTGCTGTCCAACAGTCTTTGTTGTGAACGACCTCTTCAAGCTGTCTGACAAAGGAGATAGAAATGATGTTGTGATCGGGTTTGCACTGGTGAAGTGCTCAACAACTCTCGACAAATTTCCTCAAAAGGAAAGCATGAGTTAGCGAACCATAGGAATACTGTGAAATGGATGAAGTGATCACATTGGTTTCAATAAGATATTTATTACAATTACCTATTAACTGAGACAGAAGTTGATCTCCCTGTGATAAGAACAAGTTTTATAAGAAGGGACCGTTTTGACAGCTAGTGGCAACGTAATTGAAGGTTCTGTGGTCGTTGTGTTCTTTAGCCCAGTTCCTTCGTTCGTTCGTTTGCAGTTGGTGAACTTGTAATTGGCCGTGACACTAACTTTCCTGATGCCCTCGTTCAACGAAAATATAGTTCACCTCTAGAAATTATTGAAATTAGGAAGTGCACTTGCAGTAGCACCATCTGTAAAAAAATGTTTTTTTATAAACATTACATTGAATTTACTTTTCGTGTTAGAAGTATTATGTTTATTTGAAAACCTGAATCTTGAATGTTAGACACGTACTGGCGTACTAGTTTCCTGCTCTTGTGAGTGGTAAAGTAGCGAGCTGTGATCAAGGACGTTCCGTGGTTTGCATTTTATCAATTAATATTTTTATATAATTACACGGTTGTGAACCATGAGAAGCCATTAACAAACATTAACACTTTACAAGAAGCATGACTGAACAGCTGTCATGGCGGAGGCATACTTCTCTGAATTTCATGTGATGTACACTTGTTTAGCTAACTGTCTTTTTGACTCATTTGTAGGCGGATAAGTGACTGTATGTCACTGTCAGAAGTAATCTGGCAATGCATTTCGTCACAGGAAGATATTAAATCAACACTAATCACCTCGTTTCTACTTATAATAACTTGTTAAAATTATACCTCAGAATTTTGGCGCAGAAAAGTTCATTTAGGCACCTAGATTGGTAACGAAAATCTGAAAATAGGCACAATTGGGCATGAAAAATTACGTTTTAGGCACTTCAAATAGATTGCTACATTGTTTCTCTTCACACTTCACAATGAAGCTAATACTACATCATAGAAACAAACCCACAGACAGAGAAGAAAACTTGAAATAATACTTTTCCTTTCTAGAGGTTCAAGACTTGGGCCCTACACATTTTCAACAGTAGGCTTTTGCCTGACATGTTTCCTCGCCTGGCTTGCATAAACGATGCGCCCGCTGTGGCGATATGCCTCAACCATTCAACAGCGTAGCTGCACCAGAAATGGGCCCAATTGCCTAAGAAGTACATGCTGATTGGAAACAATCATGAAACATCCCCTATATATTGACTTACAGAGGCCCTTATGTTCGATGTGTAGGGTATGAGTTTGGTGGCCGATGGCTTATTCAATCCGGGAATATTTGAGTTTTGGAGAAATTTAGGGCAGTATTTGTGTATCGGTATGACAAATTTAAAACATGAGTAATTAAAATATGATAATTCTTCAAAATTATGATCCAACATTTGTTGAAACTGATGGAATTTTATATTAGGGTCGTTCTCATAATTTTAACTCAAATTGCCGCCAAGATAGTTAAAATATCTTACTTGTTCCAATGTTGAATTTTGTAAAAACATTTTTTTTATCTGACGGAAAATGTGCTATGGAAATTTGGTTGATAAAAATTTTGAAGTTGTAATCTTCCAAGATATTACTCGATTTATGAGCATTTTCTTGAGTACATTTTCATTTCTAGCAATTAAAATCAGGTCTGTCTGCAAATAAAATATATAAATAATTCCCATTTCCCAAACAGACTCCATCTGAACATTCTCTCATCCCCACTTGTAAGAGCATCATCTAAATATGCATAAAAAATTTGAGGACAAACTGCACCCATGTTGTACACCTTGATTTACTAGAAATGTTTTGCTCTTTAAGTGATTCAAATTTAAAATTCCTTCCGTTCCATTAGATCATTAATTTATATTTGCTATTATTCCTTGGGATATCTTGTACTATTTTCTCACTAGTGCTTATGCAGTGGAGAGAATGTTTCGTAATGCACGCAAAAACGGCTAATTTTCGACATAAAAAATTATTACAAGTTCCTAGTAATAAAAAAGTTAAATTAATAAAGACATCTTTATTTAAAATAATGTAGATGATAATAGATCTTGAACCTGTACATGCCAAGTGAATTTATTGTGGTCTTTCCTCCGGAAAAATGTGTAACATATTTTCAAATTATTATAGGTACAAAAATCTCTGTGAATTTCCATTATCCACAAGATGTTTGGGGTTGGGTTGTTTTCCACATGAGCATTCACTCTCCACAGAGCATAACATAATCCGTATTATTAACATTATTTTGGCATTTTTGAAGTCTTTACTTTCACATATACATACGTATATACGAGTAATATTTATTTATTTATATACATATAATAACAGGCAATCGCCCAATTATTAAATATCATTTACATTACAGTATTATTGAAAATCATTTAGTACAGTTTTTCTCATAAGTTTTTTTAGTTGATTCAGTGAAGCAATAATAAGTTAAAGCGTTACAGTTTGCAATTTCTGCTCATTTTCCATTAAGGCGGCATAATAGTAACAAGGTTTGAATCTCGAAAGAAATATTAATAAACATGGCTTGTTTGTAGGACACGCAAGATCATGCATTATGGCACCTCCAATAGAAAGTGGCCACAAGTGGCAAATTTTCTGATTTTCTCAGAATATTGCAATTTTTAAAGTTTTGTAGTACTGTATACTTGTTATAGATTGTACCAAATATTCACCTTCTAGCACCTTCTAGACAGTAATTGAACAAATTCAAAATCAACTCCAGAATAGTAGCAGTACCTCTTGGTAACCTATCAGCTTTTAGCTGAAAAATTACTATTTCACACTTGTAACTTTTCGATTGGAGGTGCGATATGTAGGATAGGAAAAGTTACGTAATGCTGCGAAAATAGATTTCTTTGGAAATGCATGTTTTGGGGTTCTCTGAAAAAGTGTTGTTGTTTTTTTTCAAAACGTCCGCCTTTGTCCGCCCACCTGGTGTCTGTGAACACTACTAGCGCCTAAACCATGCATAGGATTTTTTCTAAAGTGATGAATCACTGTCCATTTGGCTCAATTCAAACTTTGAGATTTTGGAAAACATTCTTCAAATTTGGGGGTACTTTACATATAGCCTCATGGACACTTTCAATATTTTCTCGAGAATGGCTCTGAATTTTTTCCTTTAATTTCTTTTAAGAATAGCGTAACATACACTTAGAATTAATTGCACAGGTCAGATTTTCACGGTTAGCTCTGAATTTTTGAAAATTTTAAAAGCATGAATTTTTTTCGGTATCTTCCTACAACTACAAAATTAAAGATATAGATTTTTCATTCAAATGAAATTTGTTCTCCATTGTGAGTTCTTTGATAAAGGTCATGTACATTGTTTTGAAAATTTTAGTAGTCTTCGCGCAATATTGTGTGCAATTTTTAAGAATTACAGAGACAAGATTTTCTCAAAAACTCCTCCAAATTTTTCTTCAAACTTTTTGGAGGGATAGTGCACTCTATCAGATGACGTAAACCCATATTGCTCTATTCTTTAATTTTTTTCAAAAAGTACAAAAATGTAATTATTTTGACATGTCTCTCAATTCATTAATATTTATATTTGCAGCAATTTGTTCACATTTTTGTATTTGAGTGTGTGTGCTTTAAATAATACTGTTTTCTTTGAAAATTAGCTCAAAATTCAGCATTTTCAGAAACGCTCAAATGCCATTTTCTGGAAAACAGCTTCAAACATTTCCATCGTATAGTGCTAATTCCACTCTTTAATATGACATTAAGTTCATGTTTTTTTGTTTTTGTTTTTTTTATTACACAAATATAAATATTTTGAATGATTTCTCAAGCCATTGGTATTCACATTTCCAGCAATTTGTAAACACTATTTTATTTGTGAGTTAAAAGTACTTAAAATTACTTCAAATGAAGTTTTTCGAAAACTCAAAAAATTTCTCAAAAATTTGCCATAGCACTTAAACGCCGTTTTTTCAAAAATCGCTCAGAATTTTGGAAAGATAATTATCTCTAAGGACGAAGTTTTACTGTTCTTTAATAATCTTAAAATAATGTTTCCACTTTACAATTAGGAAACCAGAAAATTTAGAAAATGTCAAAAAATGTACTTTGGCCGGCAATAGATGGCAGCTGGCAAGAGTATTGGCAAGTCTGAGTAGATAACCGAAACCAAAGGCAATAGAAAACTAATACATATATGTTTGTGTTTTACTACATTAGCTAAGTATGAGTGAAGTGTAGTTTTTTGTGTATGAGGATTTAAGTCGCTTTATTGCAGACTTCAAGTCCCTTTATAGTAATTAGTTGGTACAAAGTGTGATAAGTAACCAGTGCATTCTTATTTTTAGTAAAGTGTATAACATTGTGTTGTGAATATTGGTACTGTACACGAAAACACATTGTAATCTTACAACGAAAAATTTATAAACTATCCTCTCTAAAACATTTAACTTAAAATGTACACTCTTAGAAATATGTATTTAAAAAGAAGTCGTAAATCAAGAGAATAATTTAAAACTTGTATTACACACAAATAAACAACATGAACATGGTACAGACACACTTTGAACTTTCTAAAATCAACAAATAATGAAACGAAGTTGTACATGTATATATTAATATGTACATATTAATTACAATAAAAATGTGATCAGTATACTGGAGCAGGTGTTTCAAAACTCTGGTGGGTGGACTCGCATAACTAGGAAAAATAGAAATCCACTCATCCCTAGCCACCCACAAACCTCTTAAGGCACCACACTGCACCCCCACATTCAACAGGTTCTCAATCCTTTCTGTCCTTGTCTCCTTTCCACCTCTTCCTACCAAAGCTACCTTACCCCGACAACTAGGAAACAATAGGCATGTGTTTAGTAAAAGTCTGCCCTCAAAATCTCAACAAAAACACAGTTCAGAGGGCAAGACTAAAACAACAAATGACAGTCTCTCACTCGTATAAAATTTTGATTGTAGCTGACAGCCATGGTAGGATGAAGCCATGGTGGCACATGTAATTGAGAACTTAACGAGACCAGATCTTTTACGCAACAGGACACAGTAGTTATTATATGTGGGCAGAACAACGTTAACTCTGGCAGTCACTTTGATACAGAAGAACACTTAATAAAAATACAAGAGACTGCCAAACACACCAATGTAATCATGACCACTCTGCCCCCTGGTACATCATTCCTATTAACAGTGCAATTAAGATTGAACACCATTATATAAGACAGCACTTAAGAGGGACACCTATCAAACTTGTTGATCTTGACAACCTCTCAAGAAAACATTTCACTTGGTATGGTCTCCACATGAACCAGATAGATAAACAAAAATTAGGAGACATGCTCATCTCGCACCTACTGGGAACCACTGCCCCTGCCACCCCACATCCATCTCCCACCCATTCTTTCTCCTCTCCATTCACAATCCTCTTATACTCTCCACATCTTTCACCAGCATCCAGTCCTCTCTTACCCCCACCAGTTCCTTCTCGTACTCCCACACATCTCCTGTGCACTCCACATCCTTCACCTGCTCCCAATCCTCTCTTACCCACACCAGTACTTCCTCCTATCCACTCCACTTCTTCCAAGCTGCTCCTCACCTTTCTTATCCTCTCCAGCCCCTTCACCTACTTCCACACCTTCTACTCCCCGTCCCATCCGTACATATTACTGCAACCAAATGCCCACTCCTGTGTATAACCTGTTGCATCAAACATCAGCAGGATAGCAGACAATATATAAAAATGAAAGCTATTTTCACATTTTTTTCTCCAAACACAGTCACTGAAAAATAAACTTTTCTAATATAGAAATATAGAGGAGAAACTCAACCGTATTTCAATATTGTGCTTCACAGAACACTGGCTGACTAAAGAACAATTAGAGAACACACTTATTCCAGGTTTCTCTCTAGCCAGCAGCTCATGTCAAAGTATTAACAACACAGATCATACATATGGTGGGACATGCATTTTTATTGAAGATGCTATTAGTTTTGTACCCTACAACAGTTACACTCATCTTATAAAAGAGAAAGTCTTTAAAATATCCATTACTGATTTAACTACAATAAAAACATGGGTTTTATGAAGATATCACAGCTCTACTGGGAATTTGAAAATCTTTATAAAAAATCTTAAGTTACTCTAACAAAACTTCAAAAAGGCAAACAGTATAAAATTGTTCTTTGTGGTAAATATAAATTGCATCATATAATCCAGAAATGAAAATCTATTGAAAGACCTACTAAAATCGTACAATTGACCACCAACCTGAATATCCAAAAATAGTTGCACTGCTATAGATGCAAATAACAATGGTTTTTTTGTTGTTACTTTTAATACAGGTTTCAGTGATCACCCTACCTAGATTCTAACAGTTCAAACAGAATCAAAAATGATTAGAGAAAAATGCACTTATAAAGATGGCATTGGTCTGATTTTTCAGGATTAACACCAAATTTTGAAAGTTTTCAGGTGTTTCCTACAACTATAAAATTGAAGATAAAAGATTTTCCCTTAAAAGAAAATTATATAGTGAGTTCTTTCATTAAGATCATACACCTTTTTTTTTAAATTTTAGTTTTTGTGCACTAAGTGTAATTTAAAAAATAATAAAAACAAATTTTTCTTGAAAACTGCTCTAATTTTTTTCTAGTAACCTTATGTAGGGATAGAGCTAAATGTAGTCTGAGATGACAGGTACATCAGTTTGCTCTATTCGGTTACTTTTTCAAAAATTACAAAAATGTATTTTTTTATTTCTCACGTTGTTAATATTTACATTAGCAGCAGTTTGTTCATATTAATGTATTCATGAGTACAAGTTCTTCAAATAATGACGGACAAGCTTCTCGTAAACTCAACAGATTTCTCTTAAAACGAGTTCAAAATTCCACATTTTCAGATACTATCAAATTCCATTTTTTCAAAAGTTCCTCCAAACTTTTCCTTCAAACTTCTGTAACGGATGTTTTAATATGACGTAAAATCATTTTAGGTTACTTTTTTGTTTTTTCAAAATTGCACTTTAATTGTTATGAAAGATCTCAATCCCTTAATATGCACTTTTCCAGCAATTTGTAAACATTATATTTGTAAGTTAAATTGCTTCAAATGTTTTTTATGGAAGTTTTTCACACAAAAAGTTTCTGTGAAAATGATCATCAAATTTCGCATTTAAGGCCATTTTCTTAAAAACTGGTTAATTTTCGCTTAAAGCCATTTTCTTAAAAACTGCTCTAAATTTTTCAAAGAAAATTGCTGTTTATGATGAGGTTTTCTTCAACTGTCCTTTAATATTCTTAAAATAATATTTTCATTTACTATTAGGAGACAGAAAAAATTTTAAAATTCAAAAAAATGTACTTTAGGCGGAGATAGATGGTAGCTGGCAAGAGTATGTGACAAGTTTGAATAGCTTGCTGACCAAAGGAAATAGAAAACTAATACGGGAAAGTCTGTGCCATTCTCTAATACCACTAGTTTGTAGAATAGTGGTTTTACTCTTGCCTACCTTCTTCTGGTGCTTACTGTGCAATAATAGTTCCTGTTTATCTTTAACCTTGTTATAACCATTATTATTGATCCAGTTATAAGAGACAATATTATTCTTATAACTCGTGAGAGTTCCACAGTCTTTATTTACTCCACTATACATCGTAAACAGGGCTTGGATTCTAATGACATGACACCTTTTCATTGGTGTATTTTAGACTAGCTAAATTGGAAAAAATTTTTATTACGACACATAGGGGATAGAAATGTATTGTTATTGTCATTATTTTCAATTTTTAGGTCTCTTTTGTGAATCTTTGTCATTTTTATGCTTTTTGCTTCCTTTTCATGTTAGTGAATGTTTCATGAATTTACAATAACCCACCAAAATAAAGATTTTATTGTGTTATCAGTTCATGATGGAAATCACTACTGCAGTGCTTTTTTTTTTTTCCCCTCAAAATTATACAGATCTTTTATAATCTATATAAATAACTTTTATTAAAAAATTGTAAAATTTATTGAATAACTAAAATTTTTCTTACATTTTTGAGTATTTTTTTAAATAAGAGCTCATTTTCCTCTTATTTTTAAGTAATTTGCTTTTATTTTCAAGTCATTTCGTAGGTCATTATCAAAAAATTTTTAGGTCATCAAAATCTGAGCCCTGATCATAACACAATTTTCTAACTTAGTTCCTTTTAATTTAGTCTTTGTTTCAGTAACAGCACATTAGTTACATTCTCCTCATTGAGATTTCAGACTCCTTCAGTTGTATCCCTTTAACATTCCAGGTGGCCAAAACAATATGTTCCCTATTTCTACTTTCTTGTTTGAGCAGTGGTTGTCAACAGCAATGGCCCATATTCGATTCCTTTGTAGCTTCTGAATAATAGTTGTTTTCTCTATGGTAAGGGTACTAGCCTCATGTGCAACTTCCGTACTTCTTGCGTACTTCCCTTCCTCATGTGTACTTCCCTTGTCCTTCTCTTCACCTGTACCCCTTGTTCTTCACCTGTACTGCAGTTGAGGTCCTCTTCTGGAGTGCTTTTTCATCTGACCCCTCTCCACCTGTCAGGAAAGGGAGGCCCTAGCTCTCATAGCTAACATTGTTCTCAGGATTCGTTGAAGTACTCGAGCCCCCCCACCAATGTTAAGGTCATGTAATTCCAAAGGGTGTTCTAGTGCTAATTATATGTAATGATTTGTTTTTCAGCCCTTTTTGCAGAAATTACACGACTTCTCAACCACATCATGGCTGTTGGAACTCATGCTTTGGACATTGGAGCTCTTACACCCTTCTTTTGGCTTTTTGAAGAACGAGAAAAAATGATGGAATTTTATGAAAGGGTGTCTGGAGCTCGCATGCATGCAGCGTATGTCAGGCCAGGTGGTGTGAATCAGGTGTGAAGAAATACTAATTGTAGATTTTCGGATAGTTTTTTCTCATGGTATTGTTTATATGGACAAACTCTTTCATTTTTCCGATTCATTTCTAATTTTGTTTATGAAACAATCCATTTAATAATCCTCTGAAATTTGCATTTATGTGAATGTGATTTATATGTTATTTTTGTTTCTAAGAGTTCCTGAAATGCTTTTCTAACACTAAATATTTAATGTTTGTGCATTCTTAGATTGATATTTATATACAATTAATTTTCACACATTTCACATTATTTGATAATTCAGGCATGTCACACAAGAACGCTGTATTTTAATATCATACATTTCCCTCTCCCATTCTCTTCTGAAATATATGCATACAATTAAATAAGTTATTTGTAACTAATAGACCTAGATACAATGATTGCAGAGTAAAAATACATTTTTCTGGTGTGTATAAACTTTTTTCATGCAGGATATACCTCTTGGCTTATTGGATGACATTTATGAATTCTCAAGCAAATTTGGAGAACGTATAGATGAGGTTGAGGATGTTTTAACTACTAATCGTATATGGGTTCAGCGAACAGAAGACATTGGTGTTGTGAGTGCTGAAGATGCTCTGAACTATGGATTTAGGTAAACTAATTTCTTATTGATTTGGGTAAACTGCATTTCAGTTTATCTTGGAATGTACAATGCTATTACGTACTAATGGAACATAAGAATAATGGTTAATGTTTGATAATTATGTTTTGCATTGCAGTAATTTTTCAAATTATGAGAATTTCTTTGAACTGTTCATTAATTAAAATTTGTCTAATTGTTATACAAAATTTTTAGTGGAGTGATGTTGCGTGGATCTGGAATAAAATGGGATTTACGCAAGGCTCAGCCTTATGATGCATATGATGAATTAGAATTTGATGTTCCAATTGGTCGGAAGGGTGATTGTTATGACAGGTGAGTGTGTTGATGGGGAAGAAAGTAAGTGAGAAGTTTCGGAGTAAATTGAGAGTTAGGGTGAAGTTTGAATGTTCATAAGCATACTTTGTTAATTTAAATCTATTTTTTTTAAAACAATAGTAGATTTAAGAATGAGTTATAATTATTGGAATCCATTCCAAGGTTGTTTCCAATATTCTGAACTGAAATTGGTTGTGTGTGTGTGTGTTTTATATTTTTTTATGTCTTTGCTTCAAAATTCATTGGCCCGATTCATTACTAAGCAATATAAATTTATTGAACCATTCAGGTTTAAATAATGGTATCTGATATTTTTGACAATTTTTTATATTTGCCTAAGTTGGAACTGTTTCTATTTCAAGTAATTTTAAGAATGGACAAGTGACATTGACTGTTCACCATAGACATGGCTTGTGCCTCCTTACATGTAAACATGTATATGCAGCTTTACATCACATTTTCGTACAAAATGTGAAATGTCAGATTTTGTGTACACCCAATGACTATCTCTCTGAAATGTCTGTGTTCATTGTTCAAAGGGACAAGATAAAAAACGTAGGCAAGTACACTAGTGCCCTAGTAGTAACCACACTACTTCAGGGGAAAAAAATAGTTGTTTCAATGTTGAATGAATGTGATAAACATTTTTTATATGTTAATGAAACTTGCTATATATTACAAAGTTATCAAAATTATTCAGGTAAGTAATTTAGAAAATAATCTCATTGACCATATTTTAGATACCTTTGCCGTGTTGAAGAAATGCGTCAGTCATTAAGAATAATTGATCAATGCCTCAACAAAATGCCACCTGGAGAAATTAAAGCTGATGATATGAAAATTACACCTCCTTCAAGATCAGAAATGAAGGTATTTACCGAAATTTTAAATGACTCAGGGAAAGGAATGTATTCTTTCTGCATAAAATCTTATTTAGATATTTCCTCCTGGAATATTCTTAATGAATTGGAAGTTTAGGAAGTTTGTGAATGAAATGGAAGTGACTGTTTGTAGTTATGTCATTAAGTGGCTATTAATGTTATGTTTGGGTAATTCAATAAATCATATTGTTATAGTATTTGTTTGAATTTTCAGACATCAATGGAAGCTTTGATTCATCATTTCAAGTTATTCACTCAAGGGTATCAAGTACCAGCAGGAGCAACTTACACAGCAGTTGAAGCTCCAAAGGGTAAGTGATGTACAATTTTTAGTTACTTGTATCTTCTGTATGGTTAAAGGAAGTCAAGGAATGCTTCAAGAAAATGCCAATTTTTCAATAGAAAATACATTTTGTGGGTTCCTGAGATCAAAAGTCAACAAAATTAATATTCTCAGTTGATATGATGTTGCAGACCATTTTAATTAAGGTGGGGGAAGGTACTTTACAGGAAGCACTTAGAACTCCTTTATAAACTGCCCAAAATGCTCCTTTAATATTTTGGTCATTTAGAGCAAAGTGCACTTACAAAAATTGATCCCTTCTTTAACCTATTTTTTCTTCACATTCCTTCAGTTACATTTATAGAGATTTCATGAAGTCTATTCCTCGATATTGGATTTTTAAATAATTAGGTTGCTGTAAACCTCTTGGCATGTTATTTCTTCCATTCAGGTTTAAATCCCAACTCTTTTTTTTTTTATTTTTTAGATTAAAATACAAAACATTGAATGGAATAGCAGAAAGCCATTTCAACTTGAATTTAAAAAAAATAATTTTTTTTAACCTTTTGCACTTCATTTGGTTAGAAATATTTCAAGTGATGGATGAAATGTTAATGTGATTGAAATAGCCCTTGCCAAAAAGTGTTTTGTTGTAGCACCTCTAGCTTTTTATAATAGTGAACATTGTGTTTAATATTTATATTTAATCTGAGTCGAACCTTCATTTAAATTTATGATTATTTTCCTTAGACAATGTGTTAAATTTTGTTGAGTAAATTTTATGAATGTTTTATAGTAACTAGCAGAAAATTGTGATTGATTGCATCTGTAAATGAACGTTAATTTGCTGTTTAATGCAGGTGAATTTGGTATTTATCTTGTTTCTGATGGAAGTTCAAAACCATACCGGTGCAAAATAAAAGCACCAGGATTTGCACATCTTGCTGCTTTAGATAAAGTAGGAAAAAATCATATGTTGGCAGACATTGTGGCCATTATTGGTGAGTAAAATGTCCCATTTCACTATTATCCATACTGAACTACTGTTATTAATAAACTGTTTGAAGGAATATGTTGGGAACTGATGCACAGTGGGCCAAATGTATTTCAGATTTTCTTTCATGTTACAATGAAGCTTTTGCTTCTTTCTTTAACGTAAAGACCAGCAAATCTGCGCTCCAGAGCACTGGCTAATTCAGGGTGAGGTAATCTTCACTTTCAGGTCTTCTCAGGTGTTGAAAGCGACAGTGGACATATATACATCCAATACAGTGCAATTTATATTTCAATTTTGAATCATTTTTCTTTAGTCACCTGGACAACTTCAAATAATGAATATGTAATTAAATAAAGTAATGAAGCTTCAAAACTAAACATCAAACTATTGTTGCACAGATGATATTTGTACTTTTGTTCACTCCTGTGCATCATATTCTAAGCAAGAACATTGAAGTGTGATTTGTCTTTCAATTTAATTTATCCTTCTTTCCCATGTCAAGATATGTTCAGTTGGTGTGTGTGTGTGTGCATACGTACACACACACACACGTGTTTAATTGTACTACAAGTAATACCTACATGTTGATTTTAATGTTTCAGGAACTTTGGATATAGTGTTTGGTGAAGTAGATCGTTGATTATCTACCAAATTTGTAATTGCATTTAAAAAACTGTAAATAATTTAGTTTATCAGAATGTAAATAATAAAATTGTGGAACTTCTTGCTTATGTTTATATTGTGAAATATTTATTGACAAATTCAATTTGATCTTTTGACTTATTTGATGTGATTTGTAATTGGCCAAATACTTTATAAACCAAAATGTAATGCAATTCCTATAATGTATTTAATTATTGTACTAATAGTTATTTGAGAAAATATGCTATGTGTTGTAAAAAGTAGTTTGAAATACACTGAAATAAAAGGAACATGATTTTCAGAATTGAACCGACTTGTATTGCAGGATTTATTTGCCAGCGATTTCATAATTTAATAGTAGTTCCTGTCTTTGTTAGACATTCAGACTTTCAAGTCATTGAAAAGGTTTGGGGAGTAGAAATAGATTTTAATTTTGAGGTAAGCATGCATGCGATTGACCCTTGTTTAAAACAACCCATTGTATTGCTTAACCCTTACGTGGTAACTCTGACACAACTGCTGCTTCTTTTTATTAATGTGACTATACTGGTTACATTGCAACTTCAAAAGCTGAGCTATGGATCATTTTAGTCTTTTTGATTTTATAACCTTGTTCGATAATTTTTCTTCTTGTAAATTTGCCTAGTAAGTCTTAGACATAAGTATATTCTACCTACTACTATGTTCTATTTCAGAGTGAGATGTCTTCTCACATATTTCAAATATTTCATTCTCTTAGAAGCAACAAAGATATTGTTTCTTTCATATTTTTTTAGTTCAGTTGAAAATGTAAGAGAAGAAGCATCTTCATGTGTTGTACACAAGACAACACAGTGGATAAAAGAATTACTCACAGGATGTACTCAAGCAGTCAAAATAGGTGATATTCACCGAAAGCTGATGTAACCTCTGGGGCCCTACAGGGAAATGTGTTAGGGCAATTGCTATTGTTAGCATTCATTAATGACATTGCAACTGGAATAAAATTGAAAGTTAGACTTTTCACCAATGATTGCGTAATATATAGGAGTATTGGCTCATCTGCTGATGAAAATATTTTACAGAATGACCTAAACTGTTTATGGAACAGGGTATGCAGAAATAAGATTGAATTAAATCCGGAAAAGAGTAAATACATTTGCCTTACCAAACTTGCTCAAGTGTACACTCCAATTATGAGTTAGGAACTAATGTTATACCACGTGTAAGAATCTTAAGTATTTGGGTTGTTTGGATTACTAACAATATGGTCAAAAAATCCTGGAGGCCACTGCACTTTGTAATGCATATTCAAAAAAAAATAGTAATAAAAATGCCCGAACCCTAGCATATACTAAAATTGTTTGTCCTATTTTACAATATGGAGCGACGACATGCTAGGGTACAGAAAAGGGCAAATCGAGGCGTTAGATAAAATTCAAAAACAGGCCGGAAAGTTTGTAAATCAGCGTGAGAGTCCTTATCTAAGAGAAGAGAATTGGTGCATTTATGCCTAATGTACAAGACACACATAAGGGATACAGCATGAGCAGGTATCAGTAGAAAAATACAGAAACCAGATAAAAGCATAGGAGACCACCCTTGGAAAATATGATGTAGAAAACAAAGAACTGATATAGGCATGTTCTCTTTTGTGAATCACACTGTAGTTTATTGAAACAAACTACCTGGAAAAGCACTACAAGCTCTTCCTTCTAACGTAATCAAATTTTAAAATATACTTAATTCCATCTAGATCACTAATAACACTGAGACTTTTATCTTTATTATTATTGAGCCATAATGATGAGCATGACTCATATACAGTAAAGTGGAGTGTTAGATAACCTACAAGTCAATTTAGAAATAGCTAGAAATAAATTTTAACTATGATATCAACCTCTAATTCTAATTTTAATCATGTTTGCCACCAAGCATTAGCTCAAAGCAAACTTTAATATTAATAATAAATCTACAATTTGCTTATTGTCTTTTAATTTCAAACAATTTGAACCAACATATTTGCTTGAAAAACATGTCTTGCATAAGTCAGCTGTTGGTTCCCAACTGAATTGCTTGATGTGTTCCCATGAGTTGTGCAATGAATGTGCTAACTGTAATGACTATTTGTTGAAACTAATTATGTGCAATGATTAAATTTATAATATTGATTTACAAAAAAGAATCTAAAAGAAATATATAAAGCTGAATTTCACTAGCTTAAAACATTCCTGTAACAACTCTGCTTTAAAAAAATTGTATCACAAAAATGAAATTCAAATGTGTATTAAGTTGTACAAGTATGTACATTCAGTCAAAACATTTAATAATGCAAACACAAAAATCACAAGGTTTCACAAACCAGTGTTACCTAGAACAATTTTGTGTTACCAATTAAGGGTTAACAATTAATTTCACGTCTATTGGAGATTTGTGTCTTCAAAGGCAATGTGTGTTTAACACATGGCCCACCACATACTTAAATTGGATCCATAATTTTGACTATGTTCAGGTTAGCAACTTAAGAATCTTTATTTCATTTCTATACTGACATAGAAATGGAAATAAAAGAAATTATTTTTGGGATCGTCAAGAAGTAATCTTGCCCTGCTGAGGTAAAAAAAAAAGTTATGTATTGAAAATAAATACTTGAATAATTTGTCATTTAAAACGAATTTTTCTGACATTACTTCAGGAACTTTTCAGTTTTGGGTACAGTGGTAATCTTACTGACGTAATACAAGTCCAAAAATGTTAGTTTAATTAGTAAAGAGATAAATAAAATTGGTAAAAAGAGCATGTACAATAATGGACCTTTTTCAACTTTCCCTTTGGAAATAACACATTTATTCATCGGCGGGCATCTTTATTTCACTATTGTTGAAAATGTGATATAATGGGACATACTAAATTAACCATATTTATTAGAATTAACGAACAAATTGCAACAATACGAATCATATTAAGTGTACTGGTTTGGAATCGCAACAACCACATTGCAACCTTATGCGAATTCACTAGGCGGACACCTTTAATATCCTAGTTCACAAGATATGGAATATTTCGTGATGTGAAATTCTGATATTCTCGAACAGTCATGGATACCCGGTACAACTTCCTCTCACTGTCACTTTTCGGACCCGATGACATGGCACCGCTGCAATCTGGATGCAATGCTGCTGTCGGCCTTTGCCGCCAACTTTGCCGCCAAAATACTTCACGGAATTTGCATGTAATTGGTATAGTAGACCACTATTGCCAATATGCGCAAATACTTCCTTGTTGTATGACAGGTTTTGCTTTTCCTATTTAATTGACGCTTCCAAGTAGTGTGATTGTCACCAGTTTCCTTTAAATATTGCATTGTATAACGTTGGCGAGTATATGGGCTGTCCTAAACAAAGATTTGACTTTTCGTCATCATGTTTTAAGTTTTTGGCAGTTTCACATTCAGTTCAGATATCGGTTAATGCTGACACCTGATTGGCCGTTTGCATTAATACTCTTTGGTTGAGGCGTGTAGTTTACTCCAAACAGCGCCATTTGTGAGAACTTGTGTGAGAAACGGCTTAAAAGTGCGCGTGAAAAAGTATATTTGTGCTGTTGACTTGTGGTGGAGAATATCTGAAATATAGATGGAAACGTGTACCAAGTAAAAAGCGTGTGGTTAGTGTATTTCCAAACGAATGATCTTAACTTTGTCAACATGAACTCGTCATTTAAAACTGACCTGGATACTGACGATGAGCTTAATACGAGCTGTCGCACGTCCAGCTCGGGATGTGATGTTGACGGATCGTTCGGCACCTCTCTAGATTATAGCATTATTGTGCCTCGAAAGTTAGATTTTACCCCAGAGCCCGGAGATTTTGGAGAGGATAATATGGATGGAGAGATATTTGCAAACAACAATAATAACAATGATTTCACAGTTCCGAAAGTGCATTCTCCCCCTTATAAAAGAGTAAGAGCATTGCGCCTACTTGATACACCAGCTACACCAAAAACTATATTAGAAAAGAGTTCTGCATTTCACACCCCAGCACCTCGTTTTAGATTAAGTCATTGCAAAGATAAAAGTAAGACAGCAGTGGGTACTCTCCTGCAACCTGATAAACCTACCGTAAATTTGAATCCCTTCACTCCCAATGGAATGATGTTGACTTCAAAAAAGAGGACACGATCAAAACGAAGTCTTGTAGGGTAGGTATATTATGGTAGTCATGTAGGCAGTAATAAATTATTTAAACTTAGTAAAAAAGATATTTAAAATGAGACCTATTTTTGATTAAAGGTCTGTGTCACCTCTGGCTGGCACTAAAGATATGCCATCAAGTGAACAGTCCGATGGTTCTGATGCAGAAGTGGAACAACCTACAAAAAAGTTAGCTCTTCATGATTCAAACATCAGCAGATACTATCAGGTACCTTTTTTCTCTTATGTTACTCTGTCAAAGAAGTGTAGTATTCAGAAAGTAACCAATTGACTTTTGTGTAACTAAATTACATTGATATGCTGGTTATTTTTAAGGAATTTCATGAAATCAGTCTAATTGGCAGTGGGGAGTTTGGCAGTGTTTATAAGTGCATTAATAGACTTGATGGCTGTATTTATGCCATCAAAAAGAGCATTCGCCCTGTAGCTGGTAGTGTAAACGAGTAAGTAAATTAATGTATGTGGCACTTGTATCAAAAGAATGGATTAAAATAAAGTATTAATTCTTCCTTTGCTTATTCATAGAAAAAATGCTCTTAATGAAGTTTATGCTCATGCAGTTTTGGGAAAACATGAACATGTTGTGAGATATTATTCAGCATGGGCAGAAGATGACCATATGCTCATTCAAAACGAGTACTGTAATGGAGGCAGCCTAGCTGATTTGATTGAACAAAACAAACAGCTTGGACAGGCATTGTCTGAGAGTGAAATGAGACAACTAATACTCCATGTTGCTGATGGATTGAGGTTTTGATCTTTTTAAAGATTGTGAGTAACTATGTCTAGAATTAGTGTTTTCTAAGTTGTTTATGTTTCAGATATATTCATTCCATGCAGTTAGTACATATGGACATTAAACCTGGCAATATATTTATCTCTCATGAGAAGAAGTTGCAGAGATTGCAGTTTGAGCTTGCAGATGATGGTTTTGAGGAAGAAGATGGCAATGAAGAGATTATCTACAAAATAGGTACTTTTTATTAATTTTTGTTATGTTAATTCTTCTTGGTGCCAACTCATTGTTTCAATTTTGGTACGCTTGGCATTTATCTGCAGGGGACTTTTCGTAGATGAAAACGTTGATATTAATGAAAACAAATCAATTTTAGTGACAGTGGGAGATGTATTTAAATATTTAGTATTACAAATTTGTGATATTTTAAGCACACTTTTGTAATGCAGTTAACAATGTTAGGACAGGATTTGTTTACATTAAATGTGCTAATAATTGTTCTAAAAGTAAGTGATTTGTTCAACAGACCTAATCTTTGTGTTACGGTGTTTACTTCAATGTACTATTTGTGTGTATTTTAAAATAATTTATTTCCAATAATGTTTTTTACTTGCATATTTAGTTCACTGTTCATTACATAAACGTTTTTAGTGATAAGGAATTATGTAGTTCAGCAATTTCATTTAATCATCAAATATTGTGGTAAATTTGTTGATTAGTATTGTAACATGCATTTACAATGTGACAGTTGTGTTCATGTTTTCCGTTATTTTGCCCCTTGAGACAAGCATATTTTAGTAAGAGATTTTTTCCTATATTTTTTTGGTATTCTTCTTTGAGCTTTCTTAACTTGATTATTTAAACATTGTTTTAGGTGACCTGGGTCTAGTTACAAGTGTAACAAATCCATCAATGGAAGAAGGTGATTGCAGATATCTACCCCTAGAAATTTTACAGGATAATTACTCAAATTTGACAAAGGCTGATATTTTTGGATTAGGTATGTATTGTAATGATTTAGTAATGTGTTTCTTTAGTAAGTGTGAAAAAAAAAAGATTACTTGTTCTTCTTCCTTCCCTTGATGCCTCTCAGCGTTGGGTTAGCCATTTGACATGCTCCTTTTGTTCTTGTGCCTTGCGCTTCACCTCTCCTAGTGTAGCTTTGCTCCTTTATATCCTGTATATACAGAGCGTTCAGGGCAGTGAACGATTTTAATGACAGATTGTATAACATGAGTATCGCCTAAGACAGCATCGCTCTCCGCTAAATATTCTTCCGCCAGTCAGCTGAGTTGCATTCACAGCTGGCCGTGGTTGACTGAACTTTGTTGTTCAATGTAATTTTGATCGCGTGGATGTTAAAAACAGTTTTCACAAGAGATTCATTTAATTCCGTATCATTAATGATGAAAAATTATACTAAGTGATTCCTGGGGGCCAGGTCAAAATACACAAAACAGTAAAACACTACCGCAAAAAACTGTCCTTGTACACTTTTGCACAAAGTGCCGTCCCTCGGTGGCCTTGCCAACATAAGAGAACCTATTGTTTAGCTGCACTTTCTCTTCTGCGAGGTAAACTCCACTCCAAATTCTACTTAACATTAGTTATGCAAACTTTACTACCTTTTAGAATAATAGAAACCATTGGATATAGAGTTCAGAATTCTCAATATTTTACACTATCAATAAAATATTCATTGAACTTTCTCTTGTCGACTGACATATACATAGTTTGTGCACGCGCCCCGACACGTTAGCCACTGTTTCGAGAAATGAAATCATTATCATTTCTTGAAGTGTTAATCACTGGGCCACGCCTCCAGGTATA